TCAGTTCCTCTTTTGTTTAATTTGCTGGTTTATTTTTCAAAATTTCGTACCGAACCTACACATAACGAAATTCCCTTCACAACTAATAACTAATTTTTCTGAAAATTTGTCAGTTTCATTATATCCAGGTTTAAATGCATAAGCAAAAATAGTCTGCATAAATAACACTCCAGTCAGCATAGGAGTGCCCATAGGCAAAATACTGCAAATGTTAGATCAACACACTCCTCACTTTTTTCTGTCCAATCGATTACAGTGGAACACCTTTCATACGTTTGTCAGTTGACCGGGTAGAAAAAACCTAACAGCCAAGAAAACGCGAAAGAGAGGAAAGCTCAAAAAATGAATGAGAGCACAGGCACTTTGACAACAAAAAATTTATTTCAGCAAGATGAGCTTAAGACTTAAATAATCAAAGATAGTTGACTGCCACTTCTTTCGCTCACTGGTAAGCACCAGGCATTTCTCAATAATCTGGAAGGCTGCATTACTTTCAACGTCGCTTTGGTGTGCGACATATCTGCGAAGGTAGACAAGGGCTGCGACTGCTTCTCCAAAGTTGAGATCGGCTGACTCCACTGCCAACTCTTCAGAATCGTGTGGCTCATGCTCGTCGTCGTCATCAATGTCCCCGTCTTCAGTTGCGATCGAGTTTCCAGCGATCTCTGCGATTATCTCGCACTCCGACAAACGACAGCAGCATCCACAGCGATGTAGTCGTCTTACATGATACCCATGGCACCCAGCACATTCATTGCCTCATTGAGCTCTTGCCCACAAGAGGCTGCTTCTGATTGTTGAGCTTCGATGGCAGGCTCTCCTTCGCTACCCACATGGAACCAACACCTCGCGAAGCAGCGCTTTACAGTTGCCACGTTCACTGCATTCCACACTGATGCGATGTAATGGCGTCGAGTGCCGAAATTGTCGTAGGCTGCTGCTGTCGACGATCAATATGCGCGGTCAGCGTTTGACGATGCTTTTTCTGTACGAATGCTTCACACATTGTAAGATTCCAGAATTCCATGGCTGCAAGTGGCTTGTCATACTTGGTGAGAAAAAAGAAGTTTGGCGTTTTGTACAAGTGGCAGATCTCTCGAAAGGCAGCAAAATTTTCTGTGACAGCACTGTGAACCCACCTTATTACCGAAGTATCAAAGAAACTCTTCCAACAAAGCACACGTCATCCACGAGCGACTGTTACTTCTGTAGTGACATGGCAGCAGGCGAATGTTTTTCAAGCACCGTGGCTTTTAAACTTGCTGATCACCCACTGCCTTAGTTTGTCGGAGCCGTCCATATTGCAGCAAAAGAGCACTGATTTGATTGATTGATATGTGGAGTTTAACGTCCCAAAACCACTACCGTATTTTCCGGTGTATAAGGCGCATCTTTGTATAAGACGCACCCCCCAGTTTTCGCAAGTTTTCATGCAAAAATTAATATATAAGATGCACCGGTGTATAAGACGCACCTACATTCACTCACTTTCCGCAAAGAAACTTCATAACGTGCAGTTGAGCGAGCATTGTAAAATGCCGTACTTACGTTTCTGAGCGCCAGTCCGTAAGAAAACTTATACTACACCGAATTTGTGAGAAAAAAATAATGCGCACCCACTGAAACGTTCCGCACGACTGCAGGAAAACATTTTATTCCTCAAAGCCCTCAAAGTCCTCGTCCTCCGACGCGCTTTGGAATAGTTCAGCGAGCTCTGGCGGCAGTGACGATGGGACTTCCTCTGTTTCCTCTTCGGAATCGCTGCTGCTGCTGCTGTCGTCGTCGTCGAGGCCAGGGACTGAGGATGCTAGCAGGCCTGCCTTGCGGAACCCCGCAGTTACGGTGGCCTGTGACACCGCACACCAGGCTTCGCGCACCCACTTTGCGACCTCGCAAAACGAAGCACGCCTCATGCGTCCAGTTGCGGTATAGCTATGCTCGCCGTCGGACATCCATGACCCCCACAGGCCGCAGAATAGCCTTGAAACTGCGGTTCACCGAGATGTCCAACGGCTGAAGCATTTTTGTCATCCCGCCTAGGATAACCGCAGCGGTGCAGTTTTTTGCCTTGATGCGCTTCAAAGTGAGCTCCGTTATATGCGCCCGCATGCTATCCAATACCAGGAGGCCCTTCTTCGCATGAAAGAAACCGTCCGGTCGCTTAGAAAAGCATTTTTCAAGCCACTTGCCCATCATCTCTTCGTTCATCCAGCCTTTTACGTTCGTTTCTATGACGACACCAGGCGGGAAAGACTCTTTCGGCATCGTCTTCCGCTTGAATATAATCATTGGCGGAAGTTTTTGCCCGTCGGCGCAACATGCCAGCACAACCGTGAAGTGCGCTTTTTCGTGGCCGGTAGTTTTGATGGCGACAGACTTGTCACCTTTCGGGGCCACACTCCTTTCCATTGGAATGTCAAACGTAAGTGGCACCTCGTCCATGTTTATTATATGGCTGTTGCCGATGCCATCGTCTTCAATGGCTTTCTTAACGAAAGCCTGGAATCTTTCAAGCTTGTCCTTGAAATCTGCTGGCAGATTCTGGCACATGCTTGTGCGGGCCCTCATCGCCAGCGCTTTGCGGCGCATAAATCTGGAGCACCAGGACGGCCCGCCAACAAAATCAACGGCGCCCACCTCCTTAGCTAGCGCCTGCGCTTTGAGACGCAGCTGCACCGTTGACATCGCCCTACCTTGGGCACGCTGCTCCAGTATCCATGAGTGCAGACGTCCCTCAAGGTCTGGCCATCGTGCTTTCTTGCCGCGGTCAGCTTTCTTGTCACTCTTCATGGCCTGAAGCTTATCAGTCGACTGTCGCCATGTGCGGACCATCTTCTCCGTGACGTCGAAATGACGGCCCGCTGCCCGGTTTCCGTAGTCCTCTGCATACTTCACAGCAGCAAGCTTAAACTTCGCCGTGTAACTTTTCCGTTTAGCCGGCATACTGCAGGTGAAGGTAACAAAGGCGCGGACCAACCGAACGAATGAAGTTGCAAATGGCGACTAGTCCAACTCGCTGAACGACAGCGTAGCGGTGGTAGCCGCAGTAGCGGCCGAATCCGAACCAAACCGCCGAACCCGTCGCGCACCCTATCGCCATCTTACGCCGATTTCACTCACTGAGTACAGCTCTCTATGGTACAGCCTCCGAAACTTGCGCAGCTTCAGTGAGCTGAGAACTCGCACGACGACATACTTTTTAAAATTTTTCCGTTTCATGTACTTTGGTTTTGTTTTAAAACTGTAGTACCGGCACGTTGAGTGTTCGTTATTATAATTATGATGCATAATTCGCATTGGACTGCTCTAGTGGTTTAAAAAAAAAGACTGATGAGCATCAACACGAGTTTCTCCCAAAAAACTACCAAAAAAGTGCGTATAAGACGCACCGTTGTATAAGACGCACCTCCGAAAATTTTGGAAAAAAACCGCGTCTTATACACCGAAAAATACGGTATATGATTATGAGAGACGCCGTAGTGGAGGGCTCCGGAAATTTAGACCACCTGGGGTTCTTTAACGTGCACCCAAATCTGAGCACACGGGCCTACAACATTTCCGCCTCCATCGGAAATGCAGCCGCCGCAGCCGGGATTCGAGCCAGCAAAAGAGCACTGTCAGCCCGTCTTTGCTGCACTTGCCTCCATGGCACACTTCACCCTTCAGGCTGCACATGAAAGAAAAGGCCTGTTTCATGAGCGTTGTATATATGTCATGAGGCTCATACCCCTCAATTAAAGCAGATGATGGGGACTTCCAATTATTGGCTCTTTCCACGTTCACACTTGCCGCTTCTCTGGTTACTGTTTTGTAAGCGTGCCCTGCCTCTTGCGTAAACGGTCGATTCTGCCATTTGACTCTGCAAAATCAGCGATGCCCAGTCTGTCGGCTATTTCCATTGCCTTCTTGCGTGAAATGCTGCCGTCGAAGTTGATACCGGCAGCGCAAGCTTGCTTGATCCAGGTAAGAAGAGCCTCGTGGAGGTCCCCGTGCTTGATGCCAGAGGCCTGCTTGGCTTTTAAGCCGAAAAGAGCGACAATCCCTTCAATATCTGCACACTTCGAGACAATGCCGTTGAGCGTTGACGGTGGCAGTCAAAGGTCTTTAGCAATGTCGACCCCTTTTTGCGCTAGCTGCTTGTTGATTGCTTTAGGTTCGTCCAGCTTTTCCTAATGGTAAAGCGCTTTCAGCTTACACGACACCATCAAGGCTTGAGAATGATTGCGTTGACAAGTTCAACAGTAACAGGCTTTGCACACATAAGAGCGACTGAAGACAAGTCACAACATGCGGCGGTGGGACTGTCACACACTTCCGGCACTCCGTAGTGAAACTCCCGTTGTAAGCACAGAGATGATGACGATAGCACCTTTCACAAATGGCCATCTAGAAGCGGCCGCTCCAACTCACCTGCGGCTTCTTGCAGCCTGTTTCGTAGCCAAGCCAGGCCAAGACTGTCAAATGTCAAATCAAAATGGCGGTGCCCGGGCGTGTTCGGTGGACTAGGTTGCGATGCATCATACAAACCGTTCTCACAGTTGCGCCGTAACAGCAGGGTTCGCAACACATGGGATTCTATGAGAGCTATGCCGGGACCGATGAAAGACAACGTAACAGCCAAGAAAGCGCAGCAGTGAGGAACGTAACAGTGGGGTTCCACTGTATAATGCAATAAAGACCTTATAAGCAGTAACACCCAAGATAAATAGCAAAGCAACAAAATCGCCCTACAAGGAAAACAATGCAGAATGCAACATGTAGGAATGTTGCAGCAGGCATCAGTTACAGTGTCAATCTCATCCAAATGCTTACACTGAGACACCAGGCATTATTCATAGCAATGTTAGTGGAAATTAGACACCTACAAGTAAAAGACAAGATTACTTGCCACTAAAATTTCATCGCAATATCACCTTTATGTAAATGCAAACAAAAGCACGCCAGGATAAGAAATATTCATAAGGCTCCGTCTGTCAAATAAAATGTGGAAGAAAACATACCTCATACAGTGGTGGCTCTTTAGGATGTGGATGGAAACCAGTAGCACGGCATCCAGAGATGAATGGCAAACCATGATCAAAAGTCAAGCTGAAGATTTTGTTCCTTGAAAGTGAATTTGATAAGAATTGGTGAATGATGCAAACACTTGAACTAATAATGCATAAAGAACTGAGAGAAAAAGATATGATTTTAAAAGGAATATATTTTGCTCTACTGTTTTGTGTCAATGTGACAGTAGCTATGAAGGATTACAAGTATAATTAAAAACAATGAGAAAAAGAAAGCGAAGGGGGCAGGGAGAGAGACTGACAGCCAAATATAAGAACAGCCAATATTCTCTTTTCTTTACAACAAATTACCAGTCTGACGTGAAACATGGAATTTTAAGTTGAGGTCCCCGCCACACCCTTTGTTCTCTTTAAGCGCCAACGAGCCCTCACAAAGTACTAGTGAGTGTACACGTGAGCGCATCAGCATAAAGTAGAGGAGATTATTTCCGCGATACTTTCGAAAAGCCCGTGAGGTTGGTCAAGGCTAATGGTCTGAATACCCTTGGCATACACAATCTATCCCACCAGAAGAAGAACCAACAGAAGTGACAATCTCCATACAGCCAGCACAATATGTTTATGCAAGTTCGAAAAGAACATTAGAGTTACAGGCGTATAACTACAGCCAGACCGGATGGCTATGCTCCCGCTTGCATAGAACAGTCACCAGCTTACAATTTCAATCTTGACAGGCCACTATCAGCTAAATATAGCTCAAAATGCACAAAAGACAAATGAGGCTTAGACAAGGAGCAACAGTATTGAATCACATTTCGTCACTAGATACCGTGGTACATTTGTAAAGTTTATGCCAGTTAAATGGTCATTACAGCCATGAAAGACATGACCTGCAGTTTAAAGGGGCCCTGAAACACTATCTTGAGTAACCATTGAATTAATTCACTAGACGAGCTTATTGCCTCACAAATCCAACACCACAAAAATTTTATGAATTCGTCTAGTACGAGCAGAGTTACGAAGATTTGTCACACGCTGCAATCACACTCTTTCTTTTCTCGTCCCGACAAAAGCGCTGGAAGCTAAGCGAGGAGGGATAGGAGGGGCAAACAAAAAACGTTAAGCGCACCTCGTGGCTGTTTTAGCTCAAATGCAGCGCCCCCACATGGCGCTGATAGTTGTGTTGAGCTGTGCAAGCCTGGCACAGTGATGGGTGGCCGTTTTGGAAGCAATAAACACAGTTTGTTCAGGGCAAAGGGCTCAACATGCTCTCATGTTCTTCGCGAGCCTGATGGCCTACTGTTCATGGTAGTCACTACCGCCCGGCCATCTATTAATCTATACATGTAATAACTGGCGACGAGAACGAAAGGAAGTTTCATGTAAGTCTTTATTCCCACACTGCTCTGCCATCTGTTCAGCATGTAATGTTTCGGCAACCTCGAGCCGTTCGAAGGGGGAGGAGACGACAGGCCCTGTTACGTGAACTAGCTCCAAGCATTTTCCCTGGCAAATGATGTCGCCCCAGACAAGCGTACTGCCGTGTTCATTAGCTGCTGCGGGCAGAAAATGGATGCTTTGCTCTGCAATTTGGTCAAGCCCGCCAAGCCCAGTGACAAGACGCTGGACGAGATTCTTCAAGTTCTTGGAAGCCATTATTGTACGAAGCCCTCTGCCCTCATGCAGCATTTTTGTTTTAACTCGCACATTCCCCCTAAAGGGAAATCCGTCAGCAATTCCATCGCAGCACTAAAAAGCTTGTCCGAGCACTGAAACTTCGGGGCTGAAGTCGAAAACATGCTCCATGACCGTGTCGTGTGTGGCATAAAGAACGTGGATGTCCAGACAAGACTTCTGGAAAAACCGGACTTCACCTTCGACGATGCTGTGCAGAATGCCTTGGTAGCGCAAGCGAACACAAGCAGCGCTTTCTCGACTGATCGTGTCTTGTCATGTTCTGGAAGCGTCACCTGCTACCGCTGCGGGGACGGACATCTTGCATCAAAATGCAAGCATGTGAAGACAATCTGCAATTACTGCCATAAACGAGGTCATTTGGCAAAGGTGTGCAATTCAAGACGAAGGGACAGCCAAGCCCAAAGCAACAGCCCTACCCAAGCACGTTCGTTCTCGTCTTGCAGTTCACCATCATCGAGTAACCGTCATCGTGTTAATACTGTACGCAAGCAGGACACCGCTACCACTTTATCTTACTAAGTTTTTGACATGTGGCCAGTCGACTACGCCACGCCGCCTCCACCTTTTACCGTCACTGTTGGCGTTTGCGGCAAGCCACTCCGCATGTAAGTGGACACGGGGGCAAGTGTCTGTGTCATGGCCAAGTCGCGTCTTCTTCAGCTTTTGCCTTTGGTTCCTGTGCAGCCATCACAAGTGCTTCTGCGAAGCAATTCCGGGGAACTAAAAAAGGTTCAGGGCAAAGCTGACGTCAGCGTCAAGCTTCATGGCAAGGAGGCCGACCTACCTGTTTTTCTGGCCGGAGACAGATCGCCCACTCTTCTTGGACGCAACTGGATGCGCGAGCTGGGCATCGGCGTTTCCGACGCCGAAGTGAGCATCCACACACTTCCCGATGTCAAACACCTTGTCCAAGACTACGCCGAAGTGCTTGAAGAAGGCCTGGGTACACTCAAGGGTGCTAAAGCTTCTCTACAAGTTCCTTCAGATGCTCTTCCTCGGTTCTTCAAGCCAAGTTCACTGCCGTATGCCTCGACAGATGGAGTAACTCAAGAAGTCCATAGACTAAGAAGATTCCATTCTTGTTACAGTCAAGACAACAAAGTGAGCTGCACCTATTGTTCCTGTGACCAAAAAGGATGGACGCATCAGAATTTGTGGAGACTTTGGTGTCACCATAAATCCAGTGGCAACAGTGGAGCAGTACCCCATTCCAAGGATCGAGGACCTGTGGACTGTGCTTGCTGGAGGTGAGAAATTCCCAAAATTGGATTCGCGAGATGCGTACCAGCAAGTTGTCCTTGAAGAGGCCTCTAGGAAGAACGTCACCATTTCGACGCATATGGGGTTATTTCAGTACACCCTGTTGCCTTTTGGCGTCTCATCTGCTCCTGCCATATTTCAGCGCGAGATGGAGAACTTTCTCAGGGGACTGCCACGTGTAGCAGTCTATTTCGATGACATTATTGTGACTGGCGCAAATGATGCTGAGCACCTTCGTAACCTTTGTGGTGTGCTTAGCAAGCTTCAGGAATCTGGCCTCAAGCTGAAACTTGAAAAATGCCACTTCTTCGTGCCACAAGTTGAGTATCTCGGGCACATCATCAGCAAGAAAGCCCTTTCCCCGAATATTGACAACGTAGCAGCCATTCTGAATGCTCCTGTGCGTCAGGATGTCAGGGAACTTCAGAGTTTCTTAGGACTTGTCAACTTCTACAGGCGCTTCTTAGACAATCTTTCGTCACTACTTCGTCTACTGCACTTGCTTCTTTGTGAAGGGAAGAAGTGGGAGTGGGGACAAGAACAACAAGATGCATTCACTGCCTGCAAGCAATTGGTGACATCAGCTCCAGTTCTTGTGCATTTCAATCCTGCCAGGCTTGTTTGCCTAAGCTGTGACACATCGCCTCTTGGTATTGGTGCAGTTCTGGCGCACAAAGATGCTAATGGCCAGAAACATTCCATAGCTTTTGCCTTGAGGAACTTGTCAAAAGCAGAACAAAACTACAGTCAACTCGACAAGGAGGCACTAACTTCAGTGTTTGGTGTGGATCGGTTCCACCAGTACTTATGGGGCATCTCATTCGAAGCACACACTGACCACAAGCCACTTCTTGGACTGCTGGGTGCCAACAAGCCCATTCCCATGCAAGCTTCGCCTCGAGTGGTCAGGTGGGCTCTGAAGCTTTCTGCTTACAAGTACAAACTTGTATACAAGCCTGGCAAAGAGCTCGGCCACACTGATGCTCTTAGTAGACTGCCTCTCCTAACTTACACTACTGCATGACCACGACCTGCTGAAATCTTGCTAGAGGAGGCATATCCGAGACTCCTTTCACCAGGTGTTGTGGCGCAAGCCACAGGAAATGATCCAGTTCTGGGCCATGTTGTTATTGCTGTTCTGAAAGGAGAAAGCCTACCAGTAGGACCAGAGTGGAACCCTTTCAATACCAGAAGCTCAGAACTCAGTCTCCATGAGGGTTGCCTACTCTGGGGATCAAGAGTAGTCATCCCAAAGTCAGTGCAGGCCCAAGTTCTTGGTGTTCTTCATACACCACCCGGTATTCGAGAGAGCAAGATGATTGCCAGAGCCATGTTTGGTGGCCAGGCATTGACAATGACATTGCCAACAGTCGTGAAGAGCTGCGCTACGTGCCAGACTCAGCATCGAGCTGCACAGCCGTTCTGCAGACGCCGGTGCCTTTTCCACAGCGAACCTGGTCAAGGCTTCACATTGATTTTGGGGGACCATTCCTAGGTCACACATTCTTGATTATTGTGGATGCGTTCTCGAAGTTCATAGCAGTCTTTCCTGTGTCTTCCACATCTGCAGAAGCTATCATTTCTCCCTTGAGAATTGCATTCGCTCAGCATGGGCCTGCCTGATGTCATAGTTTCCGCCAACGGTCCTGCCTTCACCAGTGCCCAGTACCTTGAGTTCTTAACTCGAAATGGAATACGCCGCATGCTTGTACCGCCGTATCACCCTGCTTCAAATGATGCAGCTGAATGCTGAACGATTTGAACAAACTGTGAAGAACAAACTCAGGAAGTCTGGCTCTGGGAACTTCCAAAGGCAGACCTCCAGGTTCCTGTTCCACTATAAAACCACACCACATGAAGTGACAGGTCGGCCACCGTGTGAACTCTTGACAGGTAGAATGTTCAAGACCCCATTGGATGTCCTGAGGCCAAGCCTGCAGGCATCTGTATTCCTAAAACAACTCAAGCAGAAGTTGTATGCTGACAGAGGGTCTCAGCAGGCTACACCACTACAGCCATGCGGTTACATGTATAGCACTTGGGAAACTAACCCAGCGACCACTTGCGCCTTGTGCAGACAAAAACATTGGCCTCTCGTGAAACTGCTATGGCTTTAGCTCCACCACAGTAGGAGCC